AAAGCTGGCAGGTAGAGAAGCACAAATGTGATGAACAAACACAGCTGCTGGATTACCAACCCAAAAGGAGAGCCAGTCAGAGGGTGGCGCATCGGGCCCAACAAGTCGTTCCCTGCCTTCCAGTGGGTCTCCTCAAGCAAGTACTTAGGAGTTATGATCTCCTACAACCACTTCGAGTTGCAGACTCTGCATTTTCGGATGGGGGAGGCGAAGCAAAAGTTGCATCAAGTTCGCCAATCCGTCTACAACCGCAGGTATGCAAGTACCATGTCGCGCCTTAAGGTGTGGCAGAGTACTGTCCTGAGCACCTTGACGACTGGCCTATCTGACGTCGGTTTAAGCGAAGAGTCGGCCAAACAGCTTCGCAGCTGGCACGCCTACAAGGTACGATCGGTGCTGAACCTGCCGGCTCACACCACTCGGATCACCACTAAGGATCTCTTCCAGCTCTACAACATCCAGGACCCTGTCCACGCACTGCAGTCCAAGCTAAGGAAGCGGCTTCGCAAACTGGAGCGACGAGCAGTGCAAAGCCCGGACATCATGACAGACCCCTCGGTTCTGCAGGTTATCCGAGATAAGCTGTTGGTCCTGTCACAACTCCCTGAGCCCGAGGAACATCCGGTAACCTCATACGAAGTCGTCTTTTGGGGAGTTTGGGGAAGAAACGTTCTGCACCATCCAGCAGCAGTGCATTCCAATCTGAAAGGTCCTGACAGGACTCCATTCTGGATGCTACCCAACTATGCAGTGCCTTGGCTGTGTCGTCCTCCTCACGGACTGCGGCCTGAAGAGCTAGGGAATCATAACGGCGTGTGCTTCCCTTGTGCGGTGGGAGTAACCAGTGGTGCTGGAGGGGGATTTCGGCCTTAATTGGGTAGTGCCCTCCCTTCTTCCAGCTACCCAACGGGCAGTCCGTCCAAGGGCAAGGGGCAGACCTTTTGGCCTTGCCTCCTGCAGTGGATTCCTTAGTAAGGACAAAATCGATTTGCGACTCCACGCCACTTTGAGCAATGGCAATGTTGTCACAGTGCCAGGTATTAAGGGCCACCAATCGCAACCTTAGCAGCAGATTGGACAAGTGGGATTCGTCAGGACGATCCTCCGTGGGCTGCTTCACGTGTGTACCCACCAATGGAGGACACGAGCGCAGGGAGGTATTAAAGTCGCCTGCCACGACTAGAGAATCCCGCTTGGGCACCTGCTTGACCACCTTAAACATGACTGATAGTACATGAGCACGGTCGTCCTTGTTAGACTGGATGGACTTGGCCGAGGACCAAGCATGTTGATACACAGCCACAATGACCAGCCTAGTACCTGCCATGTCTGCACGAGCTTCAAGGACCCTGCCTGGACTCCACTCCTTCCAGCGAAGGCTCTTGGCTGCAAACTTGGGTGAGAAGAGAATCATGACGCCATCCGCCCGGGTCGTGGATGGAGCCGCTTTCGGTTCCTCCTAGTCTTGCGCTTCGCGCCCTGCTTCTGCTGGGTGCTACGTTTGGCAGACTCCGAGGCCGAAGAGATGCAATGCCAACCTGAAACACTGAACTCGCTAGTCTCCGTCCGTCTCCTGCAGGATAAGGACGTCGCAGTGGTGGGAGGCTTCAGCCGCCAGCCACGTTTTTAGTTCTCCCCATTGCTGTTGACCTAGGTGCCCCGCGTTCCAAGAGACTACCCGAATGGATCTTTCTAGTCGTCCTGCCCTGCGGGAGGCTGTGCCATATGCAGGGGAGCCGTCAGTCTGTGACTGTAGCTCTCTTCTAGTGGGTGGGGGTCGCACCCCCAGCTGGTTGACCAGAGTGGGTGTCAGGACCTGCCCGCGGTATGGCACGGGCCCGTCACTTCGTATGGTCCGTCTACATGCTGTCTTGAACGAATTCTTGCGAAGAGATGCAAAGTTTTGTGAGTGCACTGGTAGTTGCGCCATCCGCTACTTTCGTCAAGAAACAGAAGCCTAATGACTCCCTCCACTGCGCGGAAGTGGAAACCCTACCGCCTACCCAGTGTTGCAATGTTTTAAACAGAGTCTGGGCCCAGGAATTGGGACCTGGCGGCTCAAAGCAGCTCCTGCGAGAAAAGGGAGAGGACCATGGCGTAGAGAGGAGGCGCAAACCTTTACTGTTCAGGGAAGGGCCCAGTAGGAGCCTCTAGCACAGCAGTTGCGCCCCAAGCCTGTTCGAAACCTCTCATCCAGCGCGGCCGCTTGAGCACTTGTGGCGGCTACTACTACTACTACTACTACTACTACTACTACTACTACTACTACTACTACTACTACTACTACTACTACTGGCGTATTCCGGGGTGGACCTTCTTTGTCAGTGGGGATCCCAAGCATCGTTTCACGGGCGTCGGGATTGTTCTTTCTAATCGGGTCATGGCCCAAGCAACCACCAGCCACTGCACATGGATCCCAGGGCGACTTCTCCAGGTCAAGTGCTGTACTCCGCGGGTGAATATTGACTTCATCTGTGGCTACCAAGCTGTGTGGCAGGAGGGCCGGGCGGCTCAGTCAGCGAATCTGAGAGACGAGTTCTGGATGAAACTTGCCTGTTGCTTGGCTTGTCTGGCCATGCAGTTGGCTTTTGGTATGAAACCGCACAGGGCACTCACTTTACGGAAACAGCAGATGGCTTCTTGAAGGGTGAGGTGATCGAGACGGCGTGTCGCGCATCCACCTTCGCCAGTCGACTGATTACACATGCTGCACTACCAGCGGTGCTTGGCAATCGATTTGTTCTTATTGCCTACACCACTGCCAACTATCAGAAGGCTAACGGAGAACATCGTGCTCCACTGCAGCGAGCGGACTTTGTGCTGCCATGTGCTACCTGAGACGGTATTTGGGCTTGGGATTGTTTCTTTTCCTTTCAGGGGTCACGGGGTCCGGGGTTCACCTGGCTTCCGGCTGGGATTTCTTGCAGCAGTCAGTGTGTCCTCGATGAACAGGCATGCCCGCTACCAGCCGGATTCCAGCATAGCACACTGCTTGAGTGTCCCAGCTTTTTATGTCATGCTGTCTGCAAAGGGGACGGTAGCGGCTAATGAACGACTGCATCGAGCGAGCGTCGCCTGACAAGTGTGCGCACTTGCACTTGCCGAGCTCCACATCAGTACCAACGCTGATCGTTCTCGTTGCGCCTGCTGTTTGCTCTGCTCAGGTCATGGCTTCAGTGTAGCGTGGAAGGACAGGCCGGCGACAATGCTGCACACCGGGATGTGGCAGATGGTTTCGGCATGCGAAGCATCGACACTGCTGCACTCCGTGTTCGGTCGGTTCACATACTGGTCGTTGTGACCACAGCTGGCAGGGAAAGCAGGCGACAGGCAGGTGATGCGCTGCGTATGTATGGCTGGAAGGTCGCATCTGCATTGCTGCCAGGCTTGCACCCGTACCGAAGGAGATGAGCTCTGCCACGAGCGGCAGGATATCATTCTGTTGCGCTCCGCCCGGCCGGTGAGTCGCGAAGCTGGCCCTGATCCTGCTCTTGCAGCCTGTGGCATCGTCTACCACAACCGGGCCGGGGTCTCGACATGGGGCAGTCAGTGCTTGGACTGATGCTACCATGGAGCCCATTCCTCAGACGGTTCATGCAAGTAGCTCAGAGGAGCAGGCAGGCGGGCACATGTCCTACTCTTCTAGCTCTCCGGCTGCTTCTTCGGCCTTTGTCAGCTCGGACGGTGGAGGGAATGGAACGGCTACCCCTGTGCGCTACTCCTACTACCAGTTTGGGGAAAGTCGCGCCTACTATGATTGACTTGAACGGCATGGATTAGCCTGTTAGCGGTAGGTCTTCAGACAAAGGATTCATCAAAACGATGAAGCTGCCACAGAGCGGCCGGTGACAAAGTCACTGTCCTCCCTCATCAAGCACATGGATCGTGTGACGTCCGCAAGGCAGTACTACTACTACTACTACTACTACTACTACTACTACTACTACTACTACTACTACTACTACTACTTCTACTACTACTACTACGACTACGACTCCGACTACGACTACTACTACTACTACTACTACCACCACTACCACTACCACTACTTCTACTACTAATAATAATAATACTTCTACTTCTGCTTCTACTTCTACTTCTACTACTTCTACTACTTGTGCTACTTGTACTACTAATCGGTACCGCTTACAGGCTTCTAGCGTTTTGGTGAACCACCTTTACACCCGGCCGATGTGAGGTCAAGTAGCACCTGATCAAAGTTTGCGAAGGGTTGACTCTCTGAGACACAGACCCATCTCCAAGAGAGTTTCGACCTGTCTTGACAAACTTCACGTTGATTCGATGCGAGTCAAAGAGGTGAGTCTCTCAGGGGCCTCCTGAACGTTAGCCTTTCGAGCCGCCTCGAGCAACCGCCTCCGAAGATGAGACATGAGATCACAGGGAGTGGGCGGCGCGCGGACCTACGCTTTGAAAAAAAGGGCGGGGGAGCATGTGCCACGACGATGTCGCGCCTCTTGTAGACTTCGTGCAAGTCTCCCAGTTCATCTCAGCACGATACAGGATGCACTGCCTCTGAGAAAGCTTTTTGCTGCCAAGTGTTCGGGATGAGTCTCTCAGCGTGTGCCCGGGTCATGCATAACAAGTTTAGCTAGATGTGCGACACTCATCGGCACCCTCCAGCCCCTTGCTGGGAGCCTGACAGACTTTGATATCGGTGGTCATTGCCTTTAGCAGCTGCCCACTGAAACCTGCTAGGTGAACAAGGCCACTCTGAAGGGCCGTAGCTGGCCGAGCATGCCCATGGCAGGCACGACGACCCCAAAAAGTTGCCTCCGAGGTCTCCTACGTTCGACAAATGCTCCATGCAACAGTGAAACCCGATCCTTCTTATCTGACAAGTCGAGTCTTGCCCTTAGCCTTGCAGCTGTTTGGAATGTCTGATTGCCGGCACTGCAACGACCCAAGCTTGAGCGGCAGTGCAGCAAATCAGAATTATTTGCAAGTTCGACAATGCAAGCTTCAGAAAAGTGGCCGGTGGCCTCAACCGACCCTGTTGGAGGACTTCCAGGGCTGCCTTGCTCGCACCGATTCGCATGCCGGCACTTAGACTTAGAGCTACGAGTACCCTGCACAAAGGACATCCGAACGTGGCTGCCGTGACTGCCACCGTTTCACTCAGCACGAGGCAGTCTTTTCGGGATCTGGAGGCAAGTCACCAGTCTTCTCCAGATCCTGGCACGCGATGTGCTGCTGCGCGTGCTACCTTGCCTGTGCGACTTGCGTGCCTTCCATTCCTGAGCCTCCAACAGCTCCTGCAATGCTGAAACTTGGAGGAGTGGTTAGGATCATGCACCAGCGTGCCTGTGGCATTGCCTCGGAAGGAGCCCACTGCAGCAAGCAAATAACTACGAGAGACAAGGGGTACAGCAGATCAATAAGCTCTCACTAAGCTCGAAAGTCATGCTTTGATAGGCTCTGCATTCTGCTCGGCCGTATTGGCTGAAGCATCCTCCATCTTTCCGCCGAGGACTTCCTCGTCTTGTGCATCACACACCAGCAAAGCACGGCCTGAGCGAATGCACAGCAGCAACCGTCAGGGCTGGATGTTTGGAACTGCTAAGCGGCCCTTCCAATCTAAGAGAGAACTTGAAGCTGAGTGCAATGCCCTCAGCCGTAAGCGCCTCCGAGACAATGCATTGCAGGCCCGAACTGGCACTTGACATGAAGTCTTCAGCACCCCGACCTTCAACACATGCTAAGCCGGGAACAGCAGATACTTGCGCGAGGCCCTGGATCAGGATCTTCTTCCCAAGGCGCTTCTGGGACCAAGTTGCATTGCAAACGGAAAGTGAGGGATCTTCATCGTCATCAAGCCAGGCTGCTTCGCTTTAGCTTAAGATTGCTCTGCAGGTGCAGCCGTATCCTATGTTTCGTGTCTCTGCGCACTGCTTGCGCCAATCAATTCAGGAATTCCTTAAACCTGCTGGGCTTGGCTTCTCGGGGACAGCTGCCGGATGCTTCAGCCCAAGTATCGATTCCCAGCATGCGACAGGACGTACAGGGCATGGCGGCTACAGTGCCCATATGTGCCACTGAGCAGCAGCAGTACCAGCTGCCACGACGGCAATGTGAACGTCCTCAGAGATGAAGCATCGAGGACCAGCGCATGTCGATAGTGATTATGCCTCTGTTCATCTCCCGCCGGCCGGGGCAAAAGCCTTGCGAGGAATCACTTTGTCGACGTCCTTCTGCCACTGCCTGTCAACGTCCGGCATGAGCCACAGAGTTGCTAAGGGAGACCTGGAAACTACAACTTCATGCTGGCATTGAGCTGGCGGGGGCCTACTAGCAGCTTTGGAAGCTGCGGCCCCGGGGTGACAGTGGTGACAATTCCTGTAGCCTGCCTGAAAGACGGATTCACAGCATACACCTGCCAAGCCCAAGTCACGCCAGTCATGTCTTGTCGGAATTGATGTTTCCGTCTTATGCGATGGAGCCTCGCACTGATTCTTGAACTCGTACTTGAGTACGTCACTGACCTTGGGATCCGGTCACGCAGACTATAGCTGTTCGTCATCTCCACAGCTCCAAAATCCTTTGAATCCTTAGAAGCTGCTGGACCCAGGATGACGTACTCCGTCAGCTTGTTGGGACTCTTCTCCTGCTTCGAGCTATGACAGCTATGACCCCCTGCTGTTTGAGGCGCCCAAGTGTTGCTCGCAGCTTCCGATGGTGCCTTGTCCGGAGCCAGGTAGCCGACATACTTAATGTCTTCTGGCGCCTCAAGCACAGAAGCCGGCTCTCGCGGACTTGCGGCGGCACGTAACCCATGGCGACTGCACCCCGAAGGGAAGTGGAAGCTTATAGAATCCGCTAACCAATGAGAGCCATGGACCAGCTGCATCGCCGTGATGGTCTTGCGGTTCGGCGGCAAAAACTGCCAGCAGACGAGGCTACGCTCAAAAGAACAATTCCCCGTCTTCTGGTGTCACACAATTCCGTGGTGAAAGTGCTGAAACGTCGTGAGCATCAAGTCGGGCAGAGTTTTGGCTTCATACGGCACAAAGGCATGCGCATCAAAACAAGAAAACCACAGGCCTGCTTCAACTCAGATGCCAGATAGTACTGCCTGGCCATCTTTTTTTACAGTGTTGACCCTACATGTCTTTATCGGGCAGCGCTGCTACTTTCTGATATGGCACCGGCAAGGCCACGCAGGGACATCGGACTGACAGAGATTCGTCTGCAGATGTTCGATGCATTGCATCGACTCCCATGGACGGCAATGGCGAAAAGCTGGAATAGAAGCTGAAAGTGCGTGCAAAGCCACAGCAAGTTTCACTGCAAAGCAGAGCCTCACACCACCACTACTTTTTTCATCCTGGCAGCATTGGCTCGTCAAGAAGCTGCGAAGGAGCAGCCTGGCATTTCATGTCCACGTTTAGCCATGCCATCAAAGGCAGAAGGTTAAGTCATGATTTCAGGGACAAGACACAGGCAGGCCTCTCGGTGAAACTGGGCAATCAGGGGAAGAGTTCATCTTGCGACCAAGGCACTTGCCGCAGCGCAGGCCGTCGAAGCAAGCAGTAGCACAGCGCGAACCTAAGAACTCTTCAGCTCCACAGCTTTCCATTAGTCGACCTTTGAGGCGATGACGAAACGACAAAGATCATCAGGCCGGCTTCGGGCACCTTTTGTGCCCAGCTGGCCCACGGCTGCACCTGCAAAAGACCCTCGTCAACTAAACGGTATAGCTACAATGCTGTTTCAGCTCTGGGCGCGGACTATACAACGTCCCTCCCGTTGGCGACGCCAGATGTTTCTTCTGGTCTGGCTTTAGACGCGAGCCCACCACTCTGTGTTTGCGCCACTTCCAATATCTTCTGTTTGATGTCTCTTTCTATTCCACCCCCCGCGAAGAAATGGTCAACGTTGTGGAAGTATGATCGCAGCTACAAACCAGCAACACCTCACAGCAGACATGCTTGCAGCTGCATGTGTACAGTATGGCAAGATATTGGCGAACAGTAGGGACAGGAGATTCTGTTCGGTGGCACGAAGAGGAACCGATTGCGGAGCAGAAGACCGCGAAAGCCTGCAGAACCTTTCTCCAATCTGAGAAAACTTGCCGGTGCTGGCTTGCGCGGGGGGTCCACGAGTCTGCACGTGCATATCTTACCAAGCATTTTCGGAGGAACACAAATTGTCCCATCTACGGTAGTCAATAACTCTACGACTTTTGAAGGCAAGCCTTTGGTCCACCTCGAAAACAACAGCAGCCTTTTCTTCGATTCCAAAGGAGCCTTGCCCGCCCAGGAGTTGATCAGACTGCTACTACTGGCGGAATTTCACATTGGCATGCGAGAATCAAGACTCTTCAAAGCAGTTGCTCCCATGTCTCGCAGTCGATTCATTGGATTTCACAGTCCACGGACCATTGCGGGGGTTCTGATGTGACCCAACATTGGACACTTGGACTCGCAGAAGTTGCAGTTCTTGGAGGGGGTGCTTCCTTCAGCATCGTACCAGCAGCAGAAAGAAACAGACAGGGGCCCCCTGCGAAACCAGCGACCGGGACAAAGTAAATCAAATCGGATGTCTTCTTGAAGCCAATCATGCTCGTGGCTCGCAAACGAACTTGTCATTGCCTGCAAACCTCCCGGCCTGGCTTGCAGGAAAGAAGGTCGGGTCTTTTGCGGAGAGCCTGCCCTGCACAAAGTCGACAATCCTGAAGTCGATTTGGTCAGAGACCATGCTACCAATTGCCCTGAACCATGTTGAGCAATCGCAACACAAGAAGTCTGGCATGGCAAGGCCATGAAGCTTTCGAAGCTTCGGCGCAAGCGCTCCATAATGCATGCTTGACAACCTTGCAAGGCTCCGGATACTCTGCAAGACTGTCAAGTGAGTGGCGAGTGCAACTGTCTCCACACATGCCACGCTTGCAGGTACCTTCACAATCATCCTGTGATGAATACCTTCAAGTCAACACATGGGAAAGCCAAGCTCTGTGCCAAATGATGCGGTCTGTGGGATAGCCATCTTCGTAAACCTGCGTAGGCTTCTGCCAGGTCGGATGCTGTTCATCGCGCAAGCTTTTATGTTCAAGTGCGTTTTGGTGAAGAATTGGTTTGGACGGAGAAAAGGGCTCGAACAGCAGCGGAGCAATCCTTGAGGTCCAGCCTTGGACGCATTTACATCGTTGTCGAACGCTTCTTGAGCAGACTCGTGCCGAGTTGGCTTCTGGCATTCACCTCACAGAAAGCACTGACGGGATTCTTCAACGGCACTCACTGAAAACCGTTGAGAAGAGTCACGTTCATAGCCCAGAGCGTTCAACTTGCCGTTGGTGTTTGCTAGCGAATGCCAGAAAACTGCCCCGATCTCGTAGCGCTGCTCTAGGTCAGACTCAGTGAGATCCGGTATGCTGATGCGCTTCCCGGTTTCGTCCAGAAGCCTTTGAACGCACGGCAAAGGACCGACCAGTCTTGGAAAAGCAGCGAGCTAGAGATCTAGCTAGCATGGCAAGATCACAAGTCGGCTGGACTTCTGACGGGTGTCGTGGACCATCCAATCGGTGCCCAAGAGGCCAAGGGCCTGCAGGCAAGAAGAGCAGTGAGAGAACATCAGCGATTTCGGGTTGTCCCCCAGAGTTCTTGTCTCCAGGAGAAGTACTTTTCAAAGGCCCATCATCTCAGCTATACGGCCTGGAGTAGCTGCGACCATCCAGGGCATCTCGGTCAGTCATGAGCACCTAAGATTGAAGGAAGGATAGTCGTGCAACAACAGTTCCCTCGCTTCTTGATCACAGAGATTCCTCTACCCAACATGACCCAGCACAACTACAGTCATCCGAAGACACCAACAGGACACTTGACATACGTGACTGCTTGTGGCACAGGACTCTGTGTCGCTTGGTACCAGCCCACACCCAGGACCCAGATGTGCGCGTAAACCCACCTCCACCAGCATACCCGCAGCCCACGCATGCATCTGCCATGACATCCACCGCGATTTTGGGATCCGGAAAGACTCCAAATGTGATCCAGCCAAACTCCCATCAGATGCAAGCCAAGAGAAGCCATTCCAGCAGCCAGAAGGCTACGGATGCCGTAAAGGCCGAGGAAGCTTCCCCGAAATCCAAAACATCCAAAACTGCTTTCGCCAAAAACGAAATTAGGTGTTCACCGTCCTCATAGTTGATACGTGCGTCCCTTCTCGTCACGGACCCGCGGATGCTGTCTGTACACAGTCGCCAAGTAGCAGCATAACTGGAGGAAGGCAAGGACAGTGCGGCGCCCTGTGCCCAAATGCCTAGCAACAGACAAAGCAAGTTTCAACGAAATGCACGCATCCCCCGACCTTCGAAAACAAACTGCAGAATCTCAGACTGTACCATGAACTCTTTGTACTCCTGCAGAATTCGCCACAGGCGGCATGATCAAGAAGCTGGTTCAAACACTCAATCAATGAACTAGCTTGGCCGTGAGCACATGTGTGATGCCGTCCTCAGCCACAAAGTCAGCAAAGGAACCGTTGCTCATGGCTCCCTGCGACGAGAGCAGAACATAAGGCCGACCAATATACGACGTTACGAGCGGGCATGAAAAATAAAGCCTGGTTGAACAATACCGTTGCAATCTCCGGGGTGGCGAAAACCTCAACTCGAGGATCGTTCTTCCGCAGGGCTGCACCGATGTGCTTGCGGGACTTGGTTTTGCCACCGCAGCACCTCAGCACAGCAATCGCGATGACTGCAGCTCATGACGGGCACAGCTGCGCCAGCTTTTCGGTCCTTTTGTGAGGCTTCTGCCCTCCCACCACGGCGAGCTTGAAGACGGAAGGGATCTTGGCCTCAGAGCTCTGTGAGGAGAAGCAGTGCAGTGCTGCTTCTCCACGGCCGAGGGGCGAATCCCCATTCGACGGCCTCCAATGTTTGAGGAGAGAGCGCCTCTCCTGGGGAATTCAACCGCCCCAAGTGGGGTTCCCTTTGCAGTGCGTTGCTTCGTTCAGTTCGCCTCTTGCGGCGGCGGGTGCGCCAGGCGGCTCTTGTAGAGGAGCTGCGGCCTGCCCAGCTGCGCAGGCCCTGCTCTAGCTGCGACGCTGGCTGAAAGCACAGCTACACAAAAACCAGCACACTGCATAGACACACACGAACCGGGTCGCACGACACTGCACGGCATCCTTTCGTGACGTGAGCCTCGGTATACTCACCTGTTGACGTCAGCTGCTGGTGGATGTTCCACACTGCTGCATTGACAGCTGCAGCTAGGCGAGTTGCCATGTCCTGCATCAAGTGCATGACATGACTTCAACGGCCATCTGACAGGATCATCAGACATATACGACTGATTCTGTTAGGGAGTAGGAGTAGAATCGCCGACAATCTCAGTCCACCGAGTCCTTGCCCTGGGACAGCTGACGGACTTTCAAGTTGCCGTCCTTGTGCGAAAATCTGGTGCTGATTCCGAGAGTACAACTTCAAAAGAGGACAGTCTTATTCAAGCTGCGTGGTTGAGCGCATGTGTTTTCAGGTGTTGGCATAGGTCTGGCCCACCTTCGGCTTCGATTGCTTTCCTAATGCTAGATGGCTGCCCTTCCTTTCTTTGGGGCTGTCGGCCCCGGAACAAAGTCAGGCTAGTTTGAGTTAGTTGGTCTTTAGTCATTGCTGCGGTCTTTCGTCGGATTGACAAATTGATGAGCCGTGACCAGCAGGCTCCAAAGGATTCCGCTCGTCGTGCACTGGTGCTCAGTTTGGCTGTTTCTGGCTGGTCTAGACGAGTCTAGACTGAGCTGACGATTCGGGACCGGGCTGATTGTTCGACGTTTGCAGGCCCTAGGCGCTAGTAGGCAGACCTTGCATTGAGCTCTTGGCATCCGTGAAACCATTGCAGCACCTGAGCCCGATTGCACTGAGGCTTTGCGTGCAGCCAAGTCTCCTCCATGATCCTGCAACGACATACATGCCACTGGCTGGCAATGCAGTCAACACTACTGCGTCCTCATGGCGTCGTCCACCGTCAGCAAGCGGAACGGCCGAAAAGGCGTGAACGTGCTCGGGATCCCTGAGCACGGCTTGTTCAAAACGTCGGGAACAATACTTGCCAGGAACGTCGATGGCCCTCTCAGAGTTCCTGTTCTTTCCGTTTACTGTGGCAAGGGACACAGATGGCCTGCCACGCTGCCACTTGCAAGCATCAGTGCCAGAAGACATCTGCCGCATAAGCACATGGCCAAGAAGTCCGTGTATGGGTGGCGGCACCGCTTCAAGTTAGTATGCGATGGTTTGTCGCCTACTTGATTCGTTCTGACTCGGACTGGAACAACCGGTCAGGTCAGGATTCGTTACAGGCTCTGGTTTGAGCACGCGAGTTGTCTCTTGCTGGCCTTCGTTTCATGTCTCAAGCCCAGAGAAAGCTGCCTCTGGCAAGTCAAGTCTATCGGGCAAAATGTGTTCACATGAGTGTTGAGTCGAGTGTGTCTCACAAGACATGCGGAACGCAACAGTAGAGTGAAACAGGCAGGTCTGCTGTTTCCAGTAGCCAGGATCTGCCATGGAGCCTATCAAGCGATGACTGACACTTGCAAGCTGCTGTTGGAACTCTCCGGATCCTCTTCATGGAAGAGGTCACTCACTGCGATCTGTCCAATGTGCAGCATGCGCTCGCTGTGTACCCCCTGCTGCACCTAATTCATGACAAGGCCTTAACCATCGGACGGATGCATGGGCCTGCCAAGGGATTTTCAAACTGAGGCAGCCAGGAGTTCGACTCCTCTGCACCACACCTGTCGAAGGCATTGCAACACACCATGCGCAAAAATGCTGTCAGGCCCCAATTAGATGCGAGCCTCACCCTGCTCGTTCTCTCACCATGCGAGTGTGAGCGAGTGCCAGGCCTTCTCGACTCTCCAACGGACGGTGTCGCGACACACCAAAGAGGCTACGGCAAACAACACAATCTGACTCAGTCTGTCTCGGGGTTTAAATTAATCTGTCAACTGTAGCTTCGGCCTGCAACAGACCCAGGCGGTGAGGCCCGGCAGTTGCCTGCACCAGTTTGAATCATCTACAAGTAGATCCTTCACCGACCGGCCTCACGGCCAATGTCGCTATGAGCACGGCGAGAACCTTTCAATGAACCGGGGGCAGTCTGCATGGTGGATACTCCGCCAAATTCAATACCCGTGCCTTTGCGAAGTTTGAAGTTCCGCATGGCCGCATGGCGAAGATGAAAATCAGATCGGTTCTGCCCCAAATGTCAGTGTTAATGTGCATGGACTACTTGGGTGAGGGCCAGGTGGCTTGTGATCCGGTGCAAAGAATGCTTATTTATTCAGCTCAAAGGCCATAACATGCCACAAAAAAACTTTCTATACGGAGGGGACACCAATCTTCTGCGCTCGCACCGGTACCTGTATTCCCATCTCATCGTCGAGAAAACGATTTCAGCATGTGCGGCTATTACCCATGGCCGTCATTAGCTCAGGAATCGGGAGCATGGGACAGTTCTGTTCTGCTGCTACGCTTGAGCGGTTTCAGCTAAACGTCGGCAAGCGCCAAGCGTGCCAAAAACAAAACAGAAACTTCAGGCTTCACAAGATCACGACTACCAGCATTGGTTGAAGCTGAAGCTTCCTTTACTCCAACTAGCCAAAGTCCCAAAGGTGTTTGATGCCAGAGCCGAAAGTCGATTTCACGCTGTACGATTTTAGGCAGCATTGGCCGGAAGTGCAGCTGTTCATACATATACAGATATGCAGAAACACACATGTATACATATACAGATACACGTATGTATATATATATATGCATGTATGTCTGTATGTATGTGTACATATATACGTATAGATATGTGTATATGCACATATGTATATGTATATATTGTATACACATATATATGTATATATGTATGTAAATATACATATGTACATATATATGTATATACATATATACCTATATATATATATATATATATATATATATATATATACGTATATACATATATACATATATACTTATATGCATATATACCTATATATATATATACATATACATATATACATATATACATATATACATATATACATATATACACACATACATATATACATATATACATATATACATATATACATATATACATATATACATATATACATATATACATATATACATATATACATATATACATATATACACATATACACATATACATATATACATATATACATATATACATATATACATATATACATATATACATGTATACATGTATACATATATACATATATACATATATACATATATACATATAAACATGTATACATGTATACATATATACATATATACATATATACATATATACATATAAACATATAAACATACATAAATACGTACATACATACGTACATACATGGATACATGTACACATATACATATACACACATATACACATATACACATATAATTATACGTATGTATATATATATATATATATACACACACAATTCCAAACATTGACCCTGCTTTCGGCGAGCAGGCTCTCGAGCAGCGCTCCTGAACCCACCTTCCCCCGCTCTCCCTGGCACCATCACTCCTGCAGAACAGTTGCGATAACCGTCTCCTCCGGAATCACATTGGTGAGTTTCCTGTTCCGAAGTTCAAAACTGTGAGAGGTCGCAAAATTGTCTGTCTTTTGCGCCCTCGTGCTCTGATTTCCTCGAGGCCGAGGCCGCCGACCCGCCCGATCTGCATGTCAGAAGAACTGCCGTTCCTGCCCACTCCCATATGCCAGTCGTCCAGCAACCTGCTGCATCGCAGCGCCACAGCGCTGCTCGCGCAGACGAATGCTCCTTTACACGATAATCCGGAGGCAGTGGCCGAAGAGCCCAAAACTGCATGCCTGGCCATCCTGGTCCACGCCGGTCGGCTTCAGGTCCAAGTGCAGAGGACTTTGACATCCGGCTTGCTTCCCCAGCCAGTTTTGCATCGTTGAGCATCAGGTATCGTCGGCTCTTGCTTGGCAGGGGCAGCGAAGAATCAATCTCAGAAATCGGGATTGCGACGGAAGAAGCCTGTGCCAGCGTCATCAGCATCAGTTTGGCTTTGTTTGGCGTAGGGTTATGCGGCGGCAAAGCGCAACATCACAAGGCAAACTAGCTCAAGCATGCTCAAACCGGCTATGGTAGCTCTATGGGTCCTTCGCATTTCCGGCGGCCGGCTCTGGGTAAGACAGCACCGCTGCCAGCGTCGCAGCACCCGCAAGGCAGGTCCCTGTGTTGACACCGGCGGCCCACGCTCGAAAACGCATGTTTTTCGGATCCAAAGATGAACCGAAATCGGTAAATTCCACACAAACGTCTCGACACGATGTGGCTTAGGGTTGTTGGGCGCTGTCAAAGCAACAGAACTTCGAGAGCATTTCACGACATGGACCACCGGCACACTGAGCCCACTGAGCTTCCAGTGCTGTAGGACAGCAGGCATGCTTACATGTCCCCTTGCGATCCCTGACAGACCCAAGCCTGCTGACATTTTCTCATTCCTCGGCTGTCTGTGTAGTTTCACAGAAAGCAGGACACCGGATTTACACATCCAATGTTCATGCACCCCCAGTGCCTCGACATGCCCAGCGGTGACGTCGGCTCAAAAGTGTGATGTTGGAATGCTAACATGCCTTGCTCGGTTGTACTTCCCAAATTGACTACGCGAGCAAATGGCAATGCTGTAGTACCCGACATCGTTCACCAATGTCAAAACGGCCTGAGTGTAGGTCCACCTGATACACCTGATACTGCGACAAGCTTCACAACCCATTGACATAGCTGTTTGATCATCATTGTCATGCACGAAACACTGAGACAATGAATTCTTGTGGCTTTGTTGTACAGCCAGGCACATTCCAATCCTGTACAGGGACAATCGCAGTGCCTGCAGAGCCACATGGATCAAGATACCCTTCCAGCCGGCGAAGTTTCCTGCGAAATGGATCGAGGATCGGTTCAGCATAGAAATTCGACCGGAAGACAATGCGTTCAGAATTGCATAATCAGCTAGTTCACGATGGGTGAGGCATCAAAAAAACTCCCATGATAAAAATAAGATAAGCATCAAAAAAATTGAACCATAGGAAAGCAATTCTTTGCACAATTTGCCTCGGGCAACTCTAGAGTTTTGCGAAGCGTAAAAACACGGCTTCTCCTACGGGGCGCTACCTCGGGCTCAAAAGGCAACGCACCATTTTTCGACGCCACCAAAGGGCTGCGGGAACGCGCAGTGGTCTGTACAAAGCGTGACACTCTACAAAGGTAGCCTAGCTCAAGCTCGGGCTGGCGATTGCCAGCGAAGGCCTGAACGGGAAGACTGGCTGGGCGGGTTTTCCCGCACAAGCTTTACCGAATGCCTCTCTGAGGCGGTGCCTCCCGCAACCATGTTGACATCAACTATGGCTAAGGATGGTAAAGCCTGGGCAACTTCGTTGCCAGTTGTCGGGTGCTTTGGAAGGTAGTCGGCCGGATTCTCGGTCCCTTTTACCTTTCTCAACAAAGCTTTTCCCGCTTGCACGGCCCCTTGGACGTAGAATTCTGAGATGTCGAAATTTCTCAAATTACTACCTGGCCCGATGCGCTTTGTCGCCGTAATGCCGGTCGAGCTGTCCGACCAGATAGGCGGAACAGCCACATCCAGCCCAAAATCTAGCGTGGCTAGATCGTGGACGAAGATGGCTTCCCGGCATGCCCTGCTTATTCCTCGAAGTTCGGCGTCAGGGCTGCTCGTTGCCGGCTGCGTCTGTGTCGACGTGATCACGACCGCTCCTCCCCAAAAACCACCACATGGCAGTCAGTGGATCTGCGGGCCTCGATGCAACCACCCCAGTCGCTGTCACAGAGAACGTCCAGCTGCAAGGTGCCGTCGTGCGCCTCTGGGTCCAGTGTCGTGACCCTCACCAAGGAAGGCTGCTGCTGCAAGTACCGCCCCACCATGCATCATGGCTTGATTCATGTCGCCGCGCCTCGTTGCAGCCATGTGCCGAGCTAGCTACTGGACGTCGCGGCGATCGGCCGAGAGGTAAATCCCGCAGCTGACTGCTGGGCAGTACTTGGCGGCTTCCAATGGTTTAGCAGCAGTGAGTCCCCCGACGTTCCAGCTTATCATATGCACTCTGTTTTCCGAGGGCCTGGCCAACAGCTGGGCCCTCTTGTCGGCCCTGTGTCACTGGAGGGCTTTGCGAAGCTCCCCACACCTGGAAGCAGCGGTGTCCTCAGAGATGCCGATTTGTCGGGCCAGGGTGCCCAGGATCCTGCTTTCTCAACAGATGCTCCTTCAGGTGCCGAGGTAACCCCCGAGGCAATCTTGACACTATTGTACCACAGATTTGCCGTCCTATATTCGACGTCAATTCGCCGAACATCACCTCCTTCTTCGATAATGAGGCGCTTCACCTTCCCCGCTAGCTGTGCTCTCTTGCGACGTTCGGGGCTCTGGCTCAAGGCTGCAAAGAAGTACCGATGTCCTCCTTCTGGTCTGTCCTGTCACAATTTTTGCCCCGCGTATGGTGCGAAGGGCTTCTTGTACACGGGCTCGTTGCTCTTCAACGGTCTCCCCTTCCAATTTGATCAGGGGAACGAGGGCAAACCCCCGCCTGAGCCCTGGGACGAAGGCCTGGCTCACGTCGAGGTTGATGTTGAGGTCGACCAGGTGTCGCAGTGTTTCCTCATGGTGCTGGTCAGCGTCCCAACCACCGACCGGGTTTCCCCCGTCTGTGTCTGAGGTTCGGGTGCTTGACATCGAGAAGTTTGCTTTGGCGACTTTCTCCTCTAGGAGCTCCAAGCGTTGCAACACAGAATGTTGCTTCTCGTCCACTTTTCGCACGCTTTGTTCCATGGCACAATGCCGATCTGTCATAGGTTCCAGCAACTTGGTAGTGTTCGAGACATGTGTGTCAACCGTGAGCTCGACACTGGCCATGCGGGTGTTGATGTTGTCTATGTCTTCCCGTACCTTTGCGACGATCTCTTCGCGATTTTCCTTCAAAGCGGCGAGGAGTGTGTTCAGGGTCAGCGGCTTTTCGTCCCCCTCGTCCTCCATTGCCGGCCTCTTTCTCCCCCCAGTTGCGGGAGCAGATGGCTCCCCGCCCGTAGGTGAAGATGGCGATCTCACCGTCCCTGCCATTGCTCAGTCAGGTAGATGTCGCGGCCCTTCGCCCAGCGATGACAAAGAATATCAACGGGTGGTGCTTTTCCCCCGCCCACGTAGGGTCGCCGAATGCGGCAAAGGAGGTGGTGTGCAAGTCCCTAAGGTTCAGCGTGTGGCCACCGTGCTGGACCCTTCCCGACTATGTCCCGGCACACAAGGTCGATGGTGATCGCGCGTAGTGCTGCACTCTCCCCCGTCAGGACGATGGCTCCCCCTCTCTCTCTCACAAGGCTTTCTCTCTGCGCGGCCGGGTTGCTCCCCTTTTTCTAGCGGTACCTGGCTCGGGGCTCGAACCGCTTGAGACAAAATGGCTTGAGCCAAAATGGCTACTCTCTCTCTCTCTCTCTCTCTATCTCTATCTATCTCTCTCTCTTGCTTTCACTCGGGCAAGAGGCACGAATGCCCCCGCGCACGCGTGCGCACCGGTCACGGCGTCTTTGTGTGACACTCCACCGGCTGAACGAGGCTCCGGGCTGCACCGTCGCATCCCCCTTCTACACTACTTACAACTTAAACCCCCAGGCCTCGTCTAGTTCCGGTTTGATTCTCTCTCTTTCTTTCTTTCTGCTGGGCTTAGGGGTCCCGCGAGACCCTCAGGCCTTAGGCCCGCCCAACCCTCACTCTGTTTTAGTGAGTGGTTGGCATTGGGGTCATTCCTGAACACGGCATAGAACTACAGAATATGCCCCAGGTTTACAAGTAAAAAGCCCCCCCCGAACGCTAAACGCGAAAACAACCCCTGCCTCATCACCGCGCCCCTATGGCAACTATCCTTAGCCTTTAGCAGGTTCGACGGGGCATGAAAAAAGCCGGTTTAATTATCCCCCCTTGTTCTCACGCAACAAGGAGAGGATGCGAATTACCTGTGGAAAGCGGATCGGACATCGTCGCAATGACGGGGTGCAGTGAATTGAATAAGGCGGAACGGGGCGGCCAATCGGGCCAGCTTTTGGCAAAAGTGGGACCTATAGTACAGAGTACAGGACAAGTATGTTACAAAGGGCGTGCTATCGTGCAGTCCCCCGGCTGGGTTCGAAAATGTGGCGGCTTCATCGAGCATGCCTGGTAAGCTGCACTTCCCCTAGTAAGGGTGTAAGCAGAAACGCGGGAACCAAGGTGCAGGGCAGCCAAACCGAACAACAAACCGAGCAACAATCACAAACATGCCCTCCCCCCAGTTCCCTGTCCCTCGCACACTGGACTTTTACATAGCATGGCGTTCACTGCCATTCACTGCTCTCACGGCTGCTCTGCATATGTTCTTGTACCTGTCGAACTTGCCACCACATGTTCGGCTGGAGGTGCACTCGTTGCTCCCCTCCGTGTCGCCGCGGGCTGCGGCTGGGTGTGCACGGTCGCTCTTGTCCCAAGCGCCTTTCCCCCAGAACTAGGTTGGCATCTCCCCGTCGCCTCGGGCTGCGGCTGGGAGTGCGCGGTCTCGCTTGTCCCAAGCGCCTTTCCCCCACGCCCACGTTGCTTCCAGTGGTTGCCGCACCGGCACTTGAACTCGGCTCTTCTCCCCTGCCATGGCCCATGGGAGCATCGTCTTCACCCTGTTGCTTGCCTCCCCCGTCGGGGTTATGTGGCTGTGTGCTCGTAGTGGCTGAGTCATCGCTCCCCCAGTCGACTTCCTCAACGTCGTGCTCTTTTCTCAAGTCGGCTTCCGTGGCTGCTGTTTCTCCCCCTTGGCTTGGTGTCGTAGTCGGCTGCTTCGTTGTCTTCTTCATGGCTTTCCGTTGTCTTCGCATTTTCATTCGGATCTGACGCGCCTTTGTAAGCAGTGCACCGGCCTTCTGCGGAAAGCGGATCAGGTGGGCCCGCGTCTCGTCAGCGAGGGCGGGCAGGTACTTGTCCACTATTTTAGTGACCCTGTCTGCTGTTGCAGCTATCTTGCACCGTGCTTTGAAGCGGTCTCGGTACTTTCCGTACTCCCCCGCGTCCTTCTGGTTGAGCGGCTCGTCGGTCTCGGCGTCCATCCACACCCCATCGTCTTCGTAGATCTCCCGCTTCCCCCATTTATCGAGGGGTCCAGGTAGGAAGTGGAGTCCCAATCCCCCTCGGGTCGTGAACCTGGTCATGTGTGAGAAAGGGATCTGCGGAGTTCTTCCATCCCCCGCCTCTTGTTGTGGTGGGTCGCGTCCCTGCGTCACTGGTCGGCTCCCCGACCCCCTTCCATCGCAGCCGTGGAACCGGCAGGCTGGGTCGGAACGCTCATGTACTTTTCTGAACCCCTGTTGGCATATTCCGGAGCCCTGCCGACACAGTCTGCATTGCTTCTTCCCTGTCTGCTGTTGCCTCTCCCCCTTGGGGCCCATTGTTCCACTATACCAAGGTAGTTTTTATTCACGGTGTCCCGCAAAGTCACGAACTTCCAGGCGTGGTTCTCCCCCACCCAGCCTGCTGGTTCGGTGAGCGAAGCGTCCCCAAGAAGCTGGAAAGGAGGATGGTGAAGAAGGTCGGGTCCCCCTCTTGTAGCAGGCCGAGGTAGATGGTCTTGCTGTCACCAGGTCACCGGACTGCAGATAGCTCACGATCGTGCCGGTCACCTTTATTGCTCGTTCCTCAGGGAGGCTACAAGGGCCTCTTAAGTCCAATGGCGGCGGACGGTTGGTCTCAAGCACCGCTGGAACAACTGGGAAGGCTCCCTCGGAGGAACAGTCCGAGTTAACCCCCCAGCTGCCCCCCGATGCAAGGAGGCGACACACACCCCCAAGCAAAGGGTGCAGTACTTGAGCCAAAATTTTCTCTCTCTCTCTCTCTCTCTCTCTCTCTCTCTCTCTCTCTCTCTCTCTCTCTCTCTCTCTCTCGCTCTCTCTAGCTTTAGACACCATAATTTTTTGATGCCTATTCCATTGCTTTAATGCCTATCCCTTCAGGAAGCAGATGGGATGAAACTTCGCGACTTGGCATCTGCCTGCTCGTGCAGACGCTCCAGGCTGTCGTTGACTTCCGCCAGCACGACGAGCTGCGCAGGAGGCTCGCAAACTGCAAAGCGCCCATGTGGACAATGCGCCTGCTCGGAGAGGTTTGCCGTGCGCTGCTCCAGAATGCCGCGCTCCCGCTCGGAGCTCCAAAGCTGCTGCCGGGCCTCGGCCTGAGAAACGGACAACGCGGAGACCAAGGATGCAAGCGTTTCAACTCGAGTCCACACACAGCTTGGGAGGAGGCCGAAAAATCTAGTGGGACTAGTTTGGAGCTTTGGCGTAAGGCTCTCGTATTTCGGTGTGCACCACAAGAGCTTTGTTCTTACGGACAACTCCTGAAAGCTCCGGAAGAGCTAGCAAAAGCAACACTTCTCACGATAAAGGCCATTCAGTCATATGCGCAAAGCCTCAGCCTTCTCGGCCGCCCCGTCTCCCGTTGTTGGAACGGGTGTCGCAATGGCCCATGGTGCAGGGACGGACCGGAGAGCGACAGCACGGGTACTACTTGTATCACACCTAGACCGGAACACGCAGACACAATGCCCAGAACACCGAAACCCTCCGTCAGTTCTCAGCACGACTGAAACTCTGCAGGACAACTCCTAGGCGGAAATGCAATATGCGAAGCAAGAACTGTCCCGAGAGTCGACCCCGCTTCGGGCACAAGTTGGGTGTTAATCTCAGCGGGTCCCCGAGACGTGATGGATGATCCTCGGGGCAATCTGGGCCTCCCCGCATGCTCAGCCCTTTCGTGGCCCAGGCGCTCGACTAAACGACCGTTCAGGTCCTGAAGCTCATTAACAGTGATGGACAAATCGGAACTTTTCCCGACACTCTGCACCTTCAGCTCCCGGAGCTCATCGCGGAGTCGCTCAAGTCGCTCATGCTCCTCAGCGTCGGGGTTACAGACGCAGCCGTTCTTTTAAAGGCTTCGGTCTTGCTGCACAGGTGGTTGCCACCTGCTGTACATACTTCAGATGCAGGGTGCAGCAATCAATCCTCCTTCAACTTCGTGTCTGTTCGCCGGCCGCGCGCCAGCTGAATTTGCTTGAGAAGTTCCTGGTCACATCAAACTGCCACTGAAGCACCCCTCATGCTTGGATGATTGCAACGGGCTGGAAACGACGCATCAGTGGGGTGAAGTGGTGGATGGAAGGCACGTTGGGCTTGCACGGAGTTGCGATGCTTCTTTCGGTGCAGCTT